AAGAAATGAGGGCAGATCCCAGGATCATCCCTCGGAAGCCGCAGCGCTCCGCTGCCGGCTCAGCCAGCCCAACTCACACACCGAGTCCAAAGCAGCCACTCTGGGGAAGTCTCTTGAGGTGTTCTGGCAACTCCTACAGCACCCCAAGATCGCCATCGCCACCCACCTCGTTCCATGCTTCTGTGTCCACAGGCGGCACCGGCTCCGAGACACCAAGATGGGAACCACCATAGGAGCTGCTCTTGCCTCCTCCACCGGTAGCTTGTGTTCCGTGGGGCAGCTGTCGTCTCCCGGTGCCTCTGCTGGAGGGTTCTGTGGGGTTCTGTGACCTCACACACCTGAACAGGGGGAGTTCCAGAATCAGCCACCCCTGTGGTCTCCATGTCCCCAAGGTCATTGTGATGCATGAGCTCTGACTGGGTCCATGAGGTGCTCTGGAGGTGCTGCAGGCATTCCCTGGGATTCTCTAGGGGTATCCCCAGGATGCCCTGGGAGTGCACAGAGACACAGGGCCGTGGAGCAAGCTGCTCTAGTGGAAGGTGTCCCTGCCCGTGCCTCTGGGGGTTGGAGCTGGGTGAGCTTTAAGGTCCCTTCCAGCCCAGCCCAGCCCACTCTGGGATTCCATGATTCTCTGCTGTGCCAATGTCGGTCCCTCTCCACTCCTCGTAGGTGACCGTGACGCCCTGTTCCATGGCCCACGTTGAGCTGTGGCCCCTCGCATGCTCCACCTCTGGACCAAAGGCACTGAGGAAGAGCAGCCCGTGAGGGACCTCCCCGAGCCGGCTGGGCAGAGGCTGGTCCCCCCGCAGCGACTCCCGGAGCACTCCTGGGTGCCCAGCGGCCATGGGCACGATGCTGCCGCCATCCCAAAGCCCCAGTGATCTGTGGGGTGGTCTCTGGTGGCTGTAGCCCCTGTTTGAGGCCTCCATTTGTCCCCTGCAGAGCTTGGACGCATTCCCATGAACCTCCAAATCCCCCTAAACCTCCAGTTCCCTTCTGAACCCCAAATCCCTTCCATTTACTGCCATGGGCCAACAGGGGCACTGAAGAGTCAGGGTACTCTGGGTCAAATGTAACCCCTGGTTTTGGGACACTGGCTGTTCCCCAAATGCCTGCACCACCCCAGGGAGCTTTGGGGATCTCCCCCAATGCCGAAATCCCCTCTGAACCCCCAAACTCTTCCCCTCAACACATCTCCATGCTGGGGGAATGTTGCTCACCCAAAAGCGACTGAGGGGGCCCTGGGACCCAGGTACATGGGAGATCTCCCAATATAATGTGCCTCCTACAGCACATTTTGGGGGATCCCCCTCTGAACCTCAAAATGTTCCTTGAACCCTCAAATCGCTCTGAACACCCAAATTCCTCCCGCTTCTGTCAACGGGGCTCCCTAGGGCATCCAATGAGATTCGGCTGCCCTGGGATTGATGGACCCCCCAGTCTCGGTAGACAGGGAGTCCCTCAAATAAATGAGCCACCCCAAAGAGTTTTGTGGACCAGCCTGAATCCCCAAATCCTCCCTGCATCCCCCCAAATCCCCCCAAACCCAAAGCCCACAGCTCCAAAGCCGCCCTGGCTCAGCACAGTGGCACAGACTTGCTAAAAAAGGGGTGTTCCGAAAAGTGGTGTTCCCCCAACACCTGCCCTGGGGATCCATCAAGATGCTCTGGAACCCCGAACACACTGGGGGGACCCCAACATTGCTTTCGGTTCAGTAGTGAATTAGGTGGGCCTAAGGGGGTGGATCCCCAAAAGGGCTACCCCAAGAAAGGGGCAAACCAAAACCACACTGCACCCCAAAGGGCCCTGGAAGCACCCAAAGCAATCGTGCTGCCCCTAAATCCTAGGGTAACCCCAAATCTCCCTGAAGCAGCACAAAAGCAGGCAGGACCGCCAAGTGGGGGCCTGGGGCAGCACAAAAGTCACCCACACCCTTCCATCCCCCCAGCCCCCCCCAGATGAACCCAGGGACCCAAAAACCTGGAGGGGCCCCACCAAACACCTGCCCCCAACTGGGGGTACCCCAGAAAAGCTGCTCCCCCCCTCCAATGCCACCCAGCCCCAAATTGCTCCTCGTTGCCCACAAACCACACCCCATGGGGCAGCCCAGCTCCCCCGTCTTTGGTATCAGGGAGTTGGGGGGGCCAGCCCCAGAGTGGGGGTTGCCTAATTTGGGATGTCCCACCAAAAGACCAAGGAGGTGTGGTGGGGGATGGAGGGTAGGAAGCTCTGCAGAAGGATCTGGACAGGCTGGATCCATGGGCTGTGGCCAATGTGTTGAGGGTCAAGAAGGCAAAGTGCCGGGTCCTGCGCTTGGGCCACAACAACCCCCTGCAATGCTCCAGGTTTGGGGAAGAGGGGCTGAAAACTGCTCATGGGAAAGGAGCTGGGGGTGCTGAGTGATGGAGCTGAACGTGAGTAGCTTGTGCTCAGGCAGCCAGGAAGCCACCAGCATCCTGGCCTGGATCAGCACCAGTGCGGCAGCAGGGCCAGGGCAGTGGTGGTGCCCCTGCACTGAGCACTGCTGAGGCCGCACCTCGAATCCTGGGTTCATCTCTGGACCCCTCATTACAAGAGAGACATTGAGGTGCTGGAGCGGGGCCAGAGAAGGGCAGCGGAGCTGGTGCAGGGCCTGGAGCACAAATGTGATGGGGAATGGCTGAGGGACCTGGGGGGGACCTGATCACTGCCTACAACTGCCTGAGAGGAGGATGGAGCCAGGAGGGGCTGGGCTCTGCTCCCAAGGAACAAGGGATGGGACAAGAGGAAATGGCCTCAAGCTGCACCAGGGCAGGTTTAGATGGAGCTGAGGAAGAATTTCTCCGGGAAGCTAGGGACCAGGTTAGGAAAGCTGAGGCCCAGTTAGAATTCAAATAGGCTCGGGATGTTAAGGATAACAGGAAGGGATTCTTCAGGTATGTAGCAAATAAAAAACAGACTAGGGACAACATAGCCCCCCTCTGGAAGCTCTCGGGAGAACTGGCTACACGGGATTTGGAGAAGGCTGAGGTTCTGAATGACTTCTTTGCCTCGCTCTTCACTGGCAAAGGATCTGACCAGACCACCCAAGTCTTGGAAGGCAGATGCAGGGACTGTGAGAATGAAGACCTTGGGCCCACTGTAGGAGAGGAGCTGTCTCGAGACCATCTTAAAAATCTGAACATGCACAAGTCCATGGGGCCTAAGGAAATCCATGCATGAGTCCTGAAGGAGCGGGCGAATGAAGTTGCTAAGCCACTGGCCTTCATATTTGAAAAAACACGGAAGTCAGCTGAAGTTCCTGACGACTGGAAAAAGGGAACTATAACCCCCATTTTCAAGAAGGGGAAAATGGATGACCTGGGGAATGACAGAGCAGTCAGTCTCACCTCTGTGCCTGGCAAAAGCTTGGAGCAGATTCTCCTGGAAGGCATGCTAAGGCACATGAAAATCAACAAGGTGCTTGGCGACAGCCAGCAGGGCTTCACTGAGGGGAAATCCTGCCTGACCAATGTGGTGGCCTTCTATGATGGGGCTACAGAATTGATGGACAGGGGCAGAGCAGTTGATGGCATCTACCTGGACTTGTGCAAAGCGTTCGACACCGTCCCACACGACATCCTTGTCTCTAAATTGGAGAGACATCAATTTGATGGATGGACCACTGGGTGGATAAAGAACTGGCTGGATGGCCGCACACAGAGAGTTGTGGTCAATGGCTCAGTGTCCGGCTGGAGACCAGTAACGAGTGGGGTCCCTCAGGGATCGGGGTTGGGACCGGTCCTGTTCAACGGCCTGCGGCCGTTACAGGGGGCGGAGTCAGCTGAGGGGAGCGGAGGGGTTACTCTCCCACCCTGCGCTCTGATTGGCTCCGCGGCGCAGTGCGCGGGGCCAGGCGCTGATTGGCTGCCGTGGAAGTGGGCGGGGCGACAGGAACAGAGCGCGCGTTGGCTGGGGGGGAAAGGAGGGAGATGGGGGGCGATGGGACCCCTATGGACCCCTATAGAACCCTATGGGGCAGGGACAGGTTCACACCCACTGCTGGCTCCCCCCATGGCTTTATATGGGGGCAATGGCGGTAATGGGGCAATGGGAGCAATTTGAGGTAAAGGGGGGCAATGTGGGTAAAGGGGGGGTCTCGGGGTCTCGAGCTCTGCCCCCTGCATCCTGGTACTGGAGCTGCTGCTGCTTCCCCCTCCAAGGGACTCGTAAAGAGAGCCCCTCTCCATGGTCAGACCCTGCAGGGACCCATAGAGACCCCATAGAGAGACCCATAGAGACCAAAAAGAGAGACTCATAGAGACCATATAGATCCACAGCCCACAGAGGCTCATAGAGACCCCATAGAGACTCATAGAGACCCATAGAGATCCATAGACACCGCAGAGATCCTGAAAGCGACCCAAAGTGAACCATAGAGACGCCCCATAGAGACCCCATAGAGACCCCATAGAGACTCCATAGAGACCCCATAGAGACCCATAGACTACAGGGACTACAACCCTGATCATGCAACGCGGCACCCATGGAGTCCCTTTACGGTGGCGCCCAGCCGGGACTACTACTCCCATCATGCAGCGCGGCACCCATCGAGCCCTTTTATGGCGGCGCCCAGTTATGACTACAACTCCCATCATACCCCGCGGATCCCATAGAACACTATTATACAGACGCCAGGCGGTACTACGACTCCCATCATGCCGCGCGGCACGCATAGAGCACCACGAGGGCGTCGCCCAAGTTGGACTACAACTCCCATGATGCAGTGCGATACCCCTACACCACCACTAAGGCACTGCCCGGCTTGGACTACAACTCCCGTCGTGCCGCGCGGCGCTCCCAGCGCGCCAATTTCGCCCATCATGGCGGAGCTGGAGCTCCCCTCCGATCCCGACCTGCGCTGGTTGGAGCCCGCGGGACCCCCCAGTGGGGGCTTTTGGGGTCCTGGGGGGGTTGGGGTGCTCCTGACCCCCTCTCTTTGTCTCCCCCCCACCTCCAGGCTGTGCACGGGGCCCTGTGCCCCCATCCGGGAGTACATCATGGGCCACGTGCGGCACCCGCGGTGAGGGGGGCACCCCAACATCTGGGGGGGAGGAACTGCAACATCTGGAGGGACCCCAAACCTCGGATCGGTCCCTAAAATACATGACGGGGGGGGGGGGGGGGGTTGTTCCTATAGGAATGTGGAGAAGATCAAAGGGAACCTGCTGTGGTATCCGCTGCACCCAAAAAAGGGGGGGGGACCCAAAGCTGCCCCCTCTGGGGACCCCCAAGCTCCTTGGAGAGCCTCCAAAACCCCTCCAAAATTGCATTGGGATCCCAAGACCCACCCCAGCACCCCCCAATTCCCCCTGTGACCCCCCCCAACCTCTTTTCTCCTCCCAAATCCATGCACAGGAGCCCCAAATTCCTTTAGGACAACTCCAAATCCCATTGGGATACCCAGGAACCCCCAATTCCCTCCCATGACACCCCCCCCGACCCCCCCCAACTCCTCCTTTAACCCCCGTTTCCTCCTTAACTCGGGGCTCAGGTACTGGCACCTCGAGGAGATTCAGGTTTGGGTGGGGGAGGGTTTGGGGGGGGCTCTATGGGGTTTTGGGGAGTCCCAGAGGGATGGGGGGGGGCAAGATTTGGGCGGGAGTGCAAATTTGAGGGGTGGTGGATGGAGAAAAAATGGGGCTTAAGGATGGGGGGGTGGTGTCCTCAGGTGACCTTTGGTGTCTCTCCCCAGCGAGGGGCGGGGTCAAGCACGCCTTATATGGAAGTGCATGAGGCCTTGGAGCAGGTGAGGGCGGAGCTTAAAGTGATGGGCGGGGCCGTGGGCGAGGCCGGGGCAGCGGTGCTGGAGCTGGGTGAGTTCATTGGGGGGTGGGGTGGGGGGTAAGGAGGCGGGGCTACCGGTCACCTGACCTGAGGATCTGCTCCCTTTGTTTCCTTGTAGAAGAGGCACTGGGGGCGGAGCTTAACGGCCAGGGGGCGGAGCGTCGTCGGGGGGAGGAGCTTCACGCCCTGGGGGCGGAGGCGGCCCAGGAGGGGCTGCGGCTGCGGAGGGAGCGGGCCCAGATAAGCTCCGCCCACCCGTAAGCGAGGAGTGGGCGGGGCTTCCCCATGGGTATCCCAATGGGGGCGGGGGGCAGCATTCCCATGATGCTCTGCGCTTGCAGGGAGCCGGGGCCAAAGGTGGGACTAACGTCGAAATTGGCGGTAAGAAGGGGCGGGGCTTATTGGGAAGGAGGAGGGGCTTATGGACGGGGGAGGGGTCTGAGCGTGGCCACGCCCCCATTGCCCCCCCCCCCCCAGGCCGTGTGCAAGCTGCGGGAGGAGGCCCTGGAGGAGCTTATGAGGGGTGGGGCTTAGGGGGAGGAGCTTAGGAGAGGGGAGGGACTTAAGAAATGGGGCTTTGGGAGGGGGTGGAGCTTGGGGAAGGGGCAGAGCCAGTGGGCTGCTGGGGGTGTGGCTTAAAGGGGGCAGGACTTCCCTTATAAGGTTCTGAGGGTGTGGCCCCAGGGTACTAGGGAAGGGGTGGGGCTACCGGTGGGTGGAGCCAACAGAGGGGCGGGGTTGCGTCCTCCCCCCCATTCCCCGTTGTTCCATTGCAGGAAGGGGTACCCCAAAATCAGCCCTGACCTTGACCCCAACCCTGACCCTGATGCTCAGCCCCCTATGAAGACCCTCATCCAGGTAAATGGGGGGACTTGAGGGGCACATTTGGTGGTGCTTTAGGGCTCGGAGCTCCCCATTGATGTGGGATTCCCCCTTTGCACCTCCCAGGACTGCTGGGTGGATGTGGGGGGACTCTGGGACCTCATCCACTCCTTGGCCTCCCGCCTGTCCCCCCTGAGGCTCCGGCTCCTCCAGCTGCAGGAGGAGATCCAGCAGCACCTGGAGGGGGACCCCAAAGCCCAGCAGGCTGCCAGGTAAAACCCTGCACCCCAAAACACCTCCCTGAACCCCAAAACCACCCCTCTGCACCCCAAACCACCCACTTGCACTCCAAAACCATTCCCCCTGCACCCCAAAGCACACCCCCTGCATCTGAAAACACCCCCTCTGCACCCCAAAACCATCCCCCCTGCACCCCAAAACAATCCACTACTTTTCAAACCATCTCCCCTGCACCTCAAAACCTTATCCCCTGCACCTCAAAACACACCCCCTGCACCCTAAAACCACCCCCATGCACCCAAAACCTCCCTATGGAGTCCCTCATGCACCCAAAACCCTCTCAAGGGCCCCCTGAATGTGTCCTGCAGCCCGGTTTCCCCCCCTGCACCCCAAAACTGCCCCTGGGCCCTCCCCCATGACCTTTTCCTCCCCACTCCTGAACCTCAGAACCCTTTAGGGATCCTCTCTGTACTTTAAACCCCACTGGGTTTCCTTCTGAAGTGGGTGCTGGGCTCATAGGGGTCCTTAAAGCCCCCCCAGATTCTCCCTAAACCCAGTGATGGGACCTTTTGGGGTGCCCCCAATCCCTCCATGGTCCCTGCAGTCCTTTTATGGTCCCGTCCCCCCCCCAAAAAGGGTTCTTGAACCCCTTTGGGCCTCCCAAACTCCCCTCAACGTTTGGCTTTGGGGCCCCGTTGCCCCCCAGGTTGATGCTGGAGCCACGGGGCTCTCAGGGGCTTGGGAGGCCCTGATCCAGCAGGTCCAGAAGCTACGGGGCAGCCCCATGGACTCCCCAGAAACTGCCCTGGGGCCACTGAGGAGGCAGCTGCAGGAGGGGAAGCAGCGGCTGGTGGGTGCCAACGGGGGAATGTGGGGATCTGGGAGGAGTCCTGATGGGTTTGGGGGGGTCTGGGGGGTGGAATTTGATGGTTATGGGGAGGGGTTGGGGTCCCTAAAGGGTCCCAGCACCACTTTTTGGGAGGGATGAGGGATATCTGGGGGTCCTGGAGGGGGATTTTGGGTCTATAGGGGATGATCTGGGGGAGTTTGGGGCTTCAGCATTGCTGGGAGGGGGATCTGGGGTTCTGGATTGGTTTGGGGTGAAGGGAGAGGTTTTGGGGAGAAATATGGGGCGATATTTAAGGTGTTTGGGGGTCTTGAGGGGGTATTTGGGTCCCTCCCATGGCTTTGGGGTCCCTCATTTCCTTGTGTCCCCCCCCTCCACCCCTTCCAGTCCCGCCGCTGGATCCAGCTCCGGGCTCTGGCCCCATCCAATGAGAAGCTCCGAGCGCAGCTGTGCCCCCTGCAGGCCCAGGTGAGTAACGAGGGGGAGGGAAGTGGGGCGGGGCTTAATGGTGAGTGGGCGAGGCCTCAGAGCTTTGGCCACGCCCCTTTCAGGCCCGAGGAGCTGTGCGGCTTCCCCCAGGGCTGCAGGGGGAAGGATAGCGGCTGCAGGAAGCGCTGAGCATGCTGGGAAAGGAGAGGGTGCCCCTCCCCCCGAGGTGGATTGGGGGGGGGGAGGGTGGTGGGGGAGGAGGGGGAAGGGCTGTGCTGACCCCTCCATTCTCCCTCTAGCCCCGCCGACTGCCCACTGCAGACAATCAGATGTGCCCTAGGAATGGCAGAGAGTGAGGGGGGGGAGGGGCCATAAAGGGGGAGGGGAATTGGAAGGAGGGGCCATAGAGGGGGCAGGGGTCATAAAGAGGGGGAAGGCCATAAAGGGGGAAGGGCAATGCGAGAAGGGGACATAAAGGGGGGCGGGGCAATGGAAGGAGGGGTCATAAAGGGGGGAGGGCAATGGGGCCGTTGCTAAGGGGTGTTTGTGCCTCAGCCCCCACAGGGGGCGCTGTTGCTGGCGGCAGAGCTGCGGGGGGAGCTGGAACAGCTGCAGGAGGTGAGGTCAGCACAAGGGGCGTGGTCAGCGCAAGGGGCGGGACCCGGGAAGCCCCGCCCACCCCGCGGTGAGTGAGGGGGACGAGCTGGGGGGTGAGGGTGTGGCCTACGCTGACCCCGTCCCTTTGCAGCACCCGCGGAGGGCGTGGCCATCGCCGAGCTCCTCCCCCAGCTGCAGGCGCTGTCCATTCGGGTCCAGCAGTGCCTCGAGGGCTGGCCCCACCTCCAGGACGTCATCAGCCAATGGTGAGACGGCGAGGGTGGGTCCGTGAGCGGCCACGCCCACCATGTGTGATGTCACATTCCCCCTTCCCCCCTCCTTCGTCTCCCATAGGTGGGAGCAGCCGGCTCAGTGGATACTGGCCGCGCCCCCCAGCAACATCCCCTTCTCCCATTGGCTGAAGCGCTGGTCCCAGGCCACCCGTGCCCTAAACTTGCACCGCCCCCTCCCCTTAGCGCCACCCACCAGCGACAAGGAAAGGTGTGACCAGAGCAAGCCCCACCCCTGAGCCTCGGTTTCATCAGATGCTCCTATTGGATGGGGTGCAGGAGGCAGGGCTTGAGGGGGGTGTGGCCACAAGGCTGCGGTCCTGGAAGCGGAATAGAGTAGGTCCTATAGAAATAGAGCAGTAAATAAAGCAGGTCCTGTGTTAATTACATGTAAATGAGGTTGCACCCATGTTAATGAGATGCAAAGCAGGTCTTGTGTTAATAAACTCGTCCCTCCTGTAGTAACAGCATGTCAACAAAGCAGAGCCTCCAATAACAATGCACAGATAACGTGTGGCCTACAGTAACACATAAATAAAGCAGGTCCTACAGTAACGAAAGTGTAAACAAAGCAGGTCCTGACATAATAAATTCCCTTATAAAGCACGACCTACAATAACAGCCTGGGAATAAAGTAGGACCTACAGGAATATGTAAATTAGACAGGCTCTATGTTAATAACAGGTACATAAAAGTAGATCCTACATTAAGAACTTGTAAATAAGTTACTCAGTAAAGTGGGTCCTGACATAACAACCACCCCCAATACAGTACGTCCTACAGGAATGAAACTGTAAATACAACATGTAAATAAAGTAGGCCCTACATTAATAACTCCCTCAAAAAAATGGGTCCTACAATAATACCTCCTCGATAAAGTAGGACCTACAATAAGGGCCCATAAATGAAGTAGGTCCTGCCCCAATACCCTGTCAATAGAGCAGATCCAACAGCAACCGTACATAAAATAGGTCCTACATTAATAAGTGAGTAAATACAGGAGGTCCTGGCGCAGCACCATGTAAATACAGGAGGTCCTACAGTAAGAACGTGCAAATACGAGTGGCTCCATGTTAATGACATGTAAATAAAGCAGGTCCTCCACTAAAAAGACGCAAATTAAGTAGGCCCTCCATTAATAACATGTAAATAAGGAAGGGTCTGTGTTAGTAACATGTAAATAAGTTCAACCCTACATGAACTGCGTGTGAGTAAAGCAGGTCCTACGCTAATTGCATGTAAATAAGGGGGGGGGTAATGATGGTGGGATGAGAAATGGGGAGGGATGGAGGGAGAGGGGGAGAAATGGCAGGAATGTGGGGAATGGGGGTGGGAAAAAGGGGAGGGGGAATGGGGCGCATAAGGGGGGGAGGAGAAGAGGGGACAAATGGGGGGCAGGGGCAAGGAAAAGCCCCATATTCAGGGCCATGGGGGGGCAGCCGGGACGGGGTTAAATGGGGACACGAGTTGGGGAGCTCAGAGCTGATTGGCTGTTGCCTGGGCAACGGTCGCCAGAACGAGGCGGGGGGGGGGGCAGGGTTGCCTGGCAACGCGCCGCACGGTGGAAGCTCACTGGCCGTCACCTGGCAACGCGCGGGAAGCGGTACGCGGAGACCCCGTTGCCTAGCAACCAACCCGGAAGTGTGGCGAGCATCGCGGAACGGGGATGGGGAAAGGCCGAAATGCGGGGGGAGGGGGGAGAAGAGGCCTCGATTTCCTGTGAAATCTTTATTTATTGGTTAATTTTCCATTTTATACATTCTTAAGGTGATGCCTCACGCCTTCCCTCCCCTTCCCCCCCCCCGCTATTTACATCGGTGTCAATAAGGCTTCGGATCGACCCCCCCATCCCCCTTTATCCTCCCCTCTCCCATCCCGGCTATAAAGAGGGGGGGAGATCCCCACCCCCGACACCCCCGGGTGGGGGATGGGAGGTTGTGTCCATTGGGGACCATCCCCCCCCCCCGTTTTGGAAGCTGAGGGCACCCAGGGCTGCTCCGGGAGTCGCTGCGGGGGGACCAGCCTCTGCCCAGCCGGCTCGGGGAGGTCCCTCACGGGCTGCTCTTCCTCAGTGCCTTTGGTCCGGAGGTGGAGCATGCGAGGGGTCACAGCTCAACCTGGGCCATGGAACAGGGCGTCACGGCCACCTACGAGGAGTGGAGAGGGACCGACATTGGCACAGCAGAGAATCATGGAATCCCAGAGTGGGCTGGGCTGGGCTGGAAGGGACCTTAAAGCTCACCCAGCTCCAACCCCCAAAGCCACAGGCAGGGACACCTTCCACTAGAGCAGCTTGCTCCATGGCTCTGTGTCTCTGTGCACTCCCAGGGCATCCTGGGGATACCCCTAGAGAATCCCAGAGAATGCCTGCAGCACCTCCAGAGCACCCCATGGACCCAGTCAGAGCTCATGCATCACAATGACCTTGGGGACATGGAGACCACAGGGGTGGCTGATTCTGGAACTCCCCGTGTTCAGGTGTGTGAGGTCACAGAACCCCACAGAACCCTTCAGAGGAGGCACCGGGAGATGACAGCTGCCCCAGGGAACACAAGCTACCGGTGGAGGAGGCAAGAGCAGCTCCTCTGGTGGTTCCTGTCTTGGTGTCTCGGAGCCGGTGGCGCCTGTGGACAGAGGAGCGTGCAACGAGGTGGGTGGCGATGGCGATCTTGGGGTGCTGTAGGAGTTGCCAGAACACCTCAAGAGACTTCCCCAGAGTGGCTGCTTTGGACTCGGTGTGTGAGTTGGGGTGGCTGAGCCGGCAGCGGAGCGCTGCGGCTTCCAAGGGATGATCCTGGGATCTGCCCTCATTTCTTGTGGGGAGAGCAAGGGCCTGTGGGGATGGGACAAGGGGGATGGCTTTAACGTGACATAGAGGGGAGATTGAGGCAAGGCAAGGGTTAGGGTTAGGGTTAGGGTTAGGGTTAGGGTTAGGGTTAGGGTTAGGGTTAGGGTTAGGGTTAGGGCAGGAGAGACAGGCGAGACCAGACCAGGAGAGGCAAGGCAAGAGAAGGTAAGGGAAGGCAAGGCCCATGAAGGGAAGGCCAGCCCGGGTCAGTCAAGGGAAGGCAAGGACAGTTAAGGCAAGGTAAGGCTAGGCAAGGCAAGGCTAGTTTAGGTCTAGACAGGCCATGCAAGGCCAGGTAAGGCCAGGTAAGGAAAGGCCAGGCAAGGCCAAGCAGGTCAGGTCCAGACCAGGCCAGGCCAGGCTAATAAAGGCAATGCAAGGCCAGGAAATCACAGGGAAGGCAAAGCCAGGCCAGGACAGAAAAGGCCAGGCAGGGCCAGGGAAGACCAGGCCAGGTCAGGCCGTGCCATGCCAGCCGAGGCGAGGCAAGGCAAGGCAAGGCTACTCCAGGACAGGCAATGCTAGGCCAGGTAAGTCAGGGTAAAGCAATGCAAGGCACGGCCAGTCAAGGGCAGGCAATGCTAGGCCAGGTTAGGCCAGGTAAGTCAAGGCAAGGAAATGCCAGGCAAGGCAAGGCAAGGCAAGAAAGGCAAGGCAAGGGAAGGCAAGGGAAGACAAGTCAAGTCAAGGCAAGGCAAGAGAAGGCAAGGCAAGGCAAGAGAAGGCCAGACCAGGCCAAGCCATGCAAGGGAAGACCAGACCAGGCCAGGCAAGGCAAGGCCAAGCAAGGCAAGGCTAGTCAGGACTGGCCAGTCCATGCAAGGACAGGTAAAGGACAGGTAAGGCAAGGCAAGGCAAGGCAAGGCCCATACAGTAGTGGCAGCACAGGACAGGTAAGGGCAGGCAAGGGCAGGCAAGCTCAGGCCAATCAAGGCCAGCCAGGGCAAGGCCAGACCAGGTTAGGCCATGCAAGGCAGGGCTAGGCAAGGAAAGGCAAGCCCATGCCAGTCTTGATCAGGTTATACCAAGCACGGCCAGGTAAGGCCAGTCCAGGCACGGCCAAGCAGGTCAAGGCCAGGCCAGGCCAGGCCAAGCAAGGTCAGGCCAGGAGAGGCCAGGATAGGCCAATCATGGCAATGTAAGGACAGGAAAGGACAGTTTAGGCAAGGCCAGGCCAGGCAAGGATAGGCCAAGCAAGGCCAGGGAATTCAAGGCCAGGCCAGGACATGACAGGCCAGGCCAGGCAAGGCAATTCAAAGCAAGGCAAGGCTAGGTAAGGCAAGACAACGCAAGGCATAGCAAGTCCAGGACAGGCAATGCAAGGCCAGGTAAGGCCAGGCAAGGCAAAGCAATACAAGGCAAGGGGAGTTAAAACAAGGCAAGGCAAGGCACATCTGGCAAGGAAAGGCAAGGCAAGGCACGTCTAGCAGCGGAAGGCAAGGCAAGGCACGTCTAGCAATGGAAGGCAAGGCAATGCAAGGAGACCACAGGACAGGCGATGCTAGGCCAGGTAAGGCCAGGTAAGGGAATACAAGGCACGGCCAGTCCAGGCCAGGCAAGGCAAGGCCAGGTTAGGCCAGGTAAGTCAAGGCAAGGAAAGGCCAGGCAAGGCAAGGCAAGGCTAGGTAAGGCAAGACAATGCAAGGCATAGCAAGTCCAGGACAGGCAATGCAAGGCCACCTAAGGACAGGCAAGGCCAGGCAAGGCAAGGCAATACAAGGCAAGGGGAGTTAAAACAAGGCAAGGCAAGGCCAGGCCAGGTCATGACAGGCCAGGCCAAGCAAGGCAATTCAAGTCAAGGCAAGTCAAGACAAGGCAAGGCAAGGCTATGCAAGGAAAGGGAAAGCAAGGCAAGTCCAGGATAGGCAATGCAAGGCCAGGTAAGGCTAGGCCAGGCAAGGCAAGACAAGGCAAGGCAAGGAAAAGGAAGGCAAGGCAAGGGAAGGCAAGGCCAGGCCAGGCCAGGCAAGGCCAGGCCAGGCAAGGCAAGGTAAGTTTAGGCAAGGCAAGGCAAGGTAAGGCTAGGCAAGGCACAGCAAGGTAAGGCTAGGCAAGGCAAGGCAAGGCAAGGCTAGACAAGGCAAGGCAACACAAGGTAAAGCAAGTCCAGGACAGGCAATGGAATGCCTGGTAAGGCCAGGCCGGGCCAGGTCAGGCAAGGCAAGGCAAGGCCAGGCACGACAAGGTAAGTCTAGGCAACGCCAGGCCAGTCCAGGACTGGCCAGTCCATGCAAGGCCAGGTAAAGGCCATGTAAGACAAGGTAAGGCAAGGTAAGGCAAGGCAAGGCCCATACAGTAGCTGCAGTTCAGGACAGGTAAGGCAAGCCCAGGAGAGGTAAGACCAAGTAAGGCAAGGCCTGGCCAGCCAAGGCCAGGCCTGGCCACTAAAGCTCAGGCCAATCAAGGCCAGCCAGGTCAAGGCCAGTCCAGGCTAGGCAATGCAAGGAAAGGCTAGGCAGGGAAAAGCAAGGCAAGGCAAGGCAAGGCAAGGCCAGGCAAGGCCAGG